TTCTTATAAATATAAAAACACAAGTATACAAAAAAAAAAGATGTATGGAAAATGAATTAAACTTGTGGTACATCCGGGGGTACCGAAGCGTGTACCTAATGAACACACGGCGACCCCCCATTGGAGGAAGCGCATGTGGGACAGGTGCTTCCTCCAACCGGGGGTCGCCGCATGTCCATTAGGTACACGCTTCGGTACCCCCGGATGTACCACAAGTTTAATTCATTTTCCATACATCTTTTGTTTGTGTATACTTCTGTTTGTATATTCATAAGAATTAACTCATGATTTTAAGATTTTTATTAAAATAATAATAATAATAATGATGATAATAATAATAATAATGAACCGAAGACAAGCAAAAATAGGTGAAACATTTATAATTACTAAGTAATTAGGTTTCAATTCATTTAGATTACAAAACAAAGTACTGTTACATTGCTCGTCTCTAGTAATACAAACACAAGGGATGAAGTCCAGCCTCTCGATTCTATGAGAATTCTTTTACAAAAGGTGGAATCACGATGTACAGAAATTAGAGATTCGAAAATTAGTACCAAGAGCCGAGTATATCGAATTTGTTCTGACGGTTTGGACGAGGGCCTCTTCTTCTTTGTACTATTTCATCGCACTGCTCGTTTGGAAAATGCAAGTGACGACGGTCCATGACCAGCACTGCATAAATTGCGCATATTTCTCCTTACGGGTTTCTTGCCCTCTAATTTCATTCCTGGCTGTCGTACCTTCACTCCCCGTATCATCTGTTTCGAGCACACAAAAATCATCTATATTGAACAATGTATAATCTACAGAACAAAGCCTCTCCCTAATGAAAAAGAAGCGAAAATTTCTTACATATTTGCCACATTTTGTGTCTGAGTAGATCACTATAAAATCTCCTTCTTGAAGTCCATTCAATCTAACAAAATCTCCTAAGAAACAGCAACCTCGTAATTAAGACATTCACAACCATTACACGTTAGTAATTAAACGCAATTGATTAATTACCTGTGTTTTCAAGAAGGTACATTCTGCTTTTGTTGTTTGGCCAAAACCTAGGCGAAAATTACAAAATTGTAAAATTCTTAAGGAATAGAAAAATCTATTTACGTTGTGTATGTTCGATTTGATATGATAGAAAATTATGAGCATAATTTACCTATAGCGCATATTCCAAACACGAGATGTTCCAATATCTTCCATGGCAATTGAAATTCCATCCCTTGATTCCAGCTCCGGGAGATGGTTTTCTGCTTCTTTCTGATAAATTACAAAAGTTCAACTTTTTAAGTAGTCCATTAATTACAATAGACAGAAGAATTACAAGTGTAACATATAGATTGCAATTATAAGAAAAAAACCAATAAAAAGTTAAAAGAGATTACTTTTGGCAACACAATCCTTCCCAGATTACCAACATCACTTTGCTTTAAAACTTTCTGCAGCAAAAATTTCAGGTTCTTTTCTGTCTTCCAGCTCTAGACACAAACAAGAAAAAAAAATCTTCTTGATAACAAAATTCACATTCCTTAATATATAATTGCAACTGATCCAAAACTCGTCCTAGTTAGTGTTCTAGTTGGACAAATAAATTTCAATGTATGGGAAAATGAGAAATTCAAGGCAAGAAAATCGACCTGCTGCTGCATCCGATTCGAAGAAGCTTGCCTCTCATAATTTTGCTGCTGCAACGAGGGACGATCAGCATTATGCCCTTGAGATGCATCAGAAGAAGTGATCATCCTACCAGTTGAAGGAGAAGAGGTATGGGGTGGAGACCAGTACACCCAATTAGCTGAGGGACTACCCTGACTGATATTTTCTCCGCCATCCACGGCATTTTGATCGACATTGGTTTGATTATGATGCTGATTTTGGTGGCTATGGTGGCGGTGATGGTGCGGGTAGAGCCGCTTTTGGCGGGCCATTCTCTTCTTCCTGGCTTCTTTAGTTGCAGAAGAACCCAATCTCACTAATCTTTCACCATTCGTGTCAAAAATCTGATACGGGTTTCTGTTATACACAGCTTGGTGCTGAGGAATTCCTTGTGGAATATAGCCATTTTCGAGGTAAGGATTGTACTGAGTCGATGAAATGGGGAATTGTGATGAAGGCCAGGATTGAGCATGTTCCATCATTTGATAGTCAGGTGGATATGGATATGGAATTCCATTAATAACTTGATTCACGGGTGGATTAACAGGAACGGGAATGGGAACAGGTACCCCATTCGAATAAGAATCGCCACGATAGGCAGAGGAAGGCGGTGGTGGTGTAAGAGCAGGCGGTGCTGTGACCATGGCCGCGGAGGAGTCCTGAATATAAGGCAGTGGAGGAGGAGGTGGCACAGCCATCCACAGGGAGGGAGAAAAACGAGCATTGGGATCAGAAACAGAATTGGAATTAAAATTGAAGTTAGGGTTTGAATCACAATCAGGTTCTTGATATTGCTGGAAAGGTGATTGGGGGCCACCGCCACCGCCACCGTTAAGCCGTTTTTTCTGAAGCTGGTATTGCTCAACCCACTCCAGTATAAGTTTCAAAAGCTGTTTCTTCCCTTCCTTATTACTGCCCAAACGCTTCGAAGCACTTTCAATGGTGGAACGCTTCAGTTTTATATTCCTCATATCTTCTGCAGAAATATGATCTTTATTTTGCTTCAACCACTCGAAAAATATAATGGCAAGTTCACTATTTCCCTGTAGGAAACTGAACCCATCATTTTCTTCATCTTGATTCTGCTTCTTCTGAAAATGTTGTGACCCTTCAAGAGGCGGCGCCACCACCTCCGCCGCGGCCTGCTGGTTTTCCAAATACTCCAGAGGGTTTTCACTTTGAAAAACAGAAGATGGGTCCCAAATTTCATTACTATCAATCAGATCCATGTACCCAAAATTCTCCATAACATTAATACAATCAACATCACCTGTGGCATCTTCGGGCGGTGGAGGGATCTCCATGGAGGCTGTTGAGGACAAAGCGTTGGGCTCTGGTTTCAACTGATCACAATTATACAGCTGGAATTTCCCTCTCCCATGAGTATCTTCGTCCGCATCGGACTTCAAAACCTCAAAAGAATCCGCCCTAGATGCGGACGAGGCGGAGGAAGACGACGTCGTGGAGGTGATGGTGACGGTTGTTTTCGGCGCATGAGTCGAGGACGAGGACGATGAAGATGACATGCACGGAAAATCCGGAAGAGGAGGAAAATCATTGTAGAAAATTGTTGCATCATTCAAATCAAGTAGATTTTCTTGCTCTCCGTCAAGCCATAGATCTCTCTCGCCAAGATGACGATCTATCTCCATAGCATCATAATCATTAGGGTTCATAACCGCCATCGTCTCCTCCAATCTCACTTCATTTCCACTTTGCAGATCTTGTTCAACTAGCAAACCTTTATTCTTGATCATGCTTCCTTCGCTGAAATTCAACATACAACAACAAATTCTTAGGGGGGTTTTGGTAAAAGTTATTTTCTTGGATACATATTCTAGAGAGAGAGAAAGAGAAGAGAAAGAAAAGATATGCTGTGTACGGATAAGAAAGAAGAGTGCTTTGTAACTGATTAAGGAAGCAAGTTTAAGGGCCTATTACATAGGATGCAACTTGCAAGTTACAAAACATAAAACATCTGGGATTTCTCTATACAAAATCACCAAATCTCAAAGAAAACGACCACTCCACATTAATCTATACCTACAACAAAGAAACACTATACAAGAACTATACATACATTGTTCAACTCAAATTTTCCTAGTATTCTAGGAATTTACAGAAGATTTAGAAGAAAATGAACAAGAAGCCAAGAAACCCTAAATGACAAAGTTAAACTTCTGAAACCCAACCACCCCCATGAATGGTTCTGATGTGCTCTGGGGAGTTTCAGCCTCTTTCTTTAATGGCGTTTTTTGCAAGCAGAAAAGTTCAAATCTTTTTTTTTTTTTTTTTTTTGGTTTTTTTTGTGGGTTTTTTCTTAACTAAGAGAGAGAAATAGACCTTAACTTTAAATTAGAGAAAGAAATATAGAGAGAGAAAGTAAAAGTGGTTTATTTGAAGAGAGAGAGAGAAATACAGCCCAGAACAAAACCTTGTGCCGGTAGTTTCTCCATTTAACTCCGGATTCTACGCCAGTATCTGTATCCATACGTTTCAATCTCAATGGTGCAACCTAGCGGTGCCTCAGCCTTTTTCTATAAATTCAAAGCACCTCAATTCTCTCTCTGCTATATACATGTACATGTACACATATCGATCTATACATGCAGCTCATGTATATACATGAATGTATACGTATAGAGAGAGAACGAGCGTAATTGGACCGCCTGAAGAGAGAGCTCCCTGCTTGGTTAACTGAGTTTGTCGCGATTCGTGGGAGAAGCGAAGCTCTTTGGTCTTTACTACGTGTCTCTCCAGTTCTGACGTAAACCAAACTCCATTAAGAATAAATTAATTTTCTCTCTGTAACTACCAATAACCATGCTCCTGTTTCAATTTTCTCGTCATTATCTCCAAAACACACTCGTATACATACATAATATCACACACATAAATATATGCATAATATAAACACACATGCATGTGTATTTATGTGAAAACTGGTGAATTTTCAATGCATGCAAAGTATTGGCTGCTGGCTTTAATGCTTTTTTGAACATATTTTCTTGCATAAGTTCGTGTGCTGTGTGGTTCACACGAAACTGGACTTGGTAGGGGGTTCATGTCAAATCAGATGATGCCATGTAATATGTTGACTGAACAGAAGTTCTAATATCCACGTGGCATTCCTTGTAATTATCTAATTATTACGTCAAATGTTTGGCTGGATTCGAGTTTTGTAGCTATCGCAACACAGAAAAATCTTGGAGGATGGATAAACATACAATTTCATGTTGCACCAAGTTATTTTTAGTATTAATGAAAAATGTGTTTATCTCATCTGGTGTACATAGGTAGTAATTTAATAAATTTAGGGATAATTTTATGAATTTCAAGAGATCAATAATTTAATTTTTCGATCGAAAATTAGAAGATCATATGAACTAGTCCTACACGGTCGAGCTGCTAAGTATATGCAAGTGGACGCAAAAAATTTTAGTAAAGGGAGTACAATCAAACTCTTTACAAATCGAATACTTTGTTATTGATTTTTGAATAATTTGTGCTTATACGAGAAATGCAGATTTACATTTAAAAAAGTTTCTTCATTAATATTTTGCTCTTCGTTTTCATATGTTTGATTTCGAATAGTCGGTTCAGGTGATCGAAAGGAAAAACATGTAACCAATATTCGATAAAATAAATACAATTTATTAAATATAAGTTAAATTGAGTATAATTAGTTCAGATACATTCTATACACAAATAGGGTAGGAGAAAATGCAAATTTAGGTTCTAATTAATTGAAAATTTGTAGTAAAATTTTAAAAAATTAGAAGGGTTAAGGTTTTGGTAGAAAGTATGAGGGAAAGAGTAAGTGAAAAATATTAAATTTATTGTGATTTTGCCCTTATTTGAAGGTGGCTAAAATCAAATTTTTAGTAAATTTTGATAAAAGTTAAAAAGTTAAGGATTCCGTTAAATATGTTATTAAAATTAATTATTAATTTTGATTTAAATTAAAACTTAGATTTTAATCGATACCAAACATGATTTATTCAATATATATATAAAACAAAAGTTGGCGGGGTCACGTGACCCCCTTGGGTCCACCCAGAGTATATGTTTGAAAATATATTCTACCATGATGATGACGAAGACGAAAACAATAATAATAAATGATATGAATTCAAGTGGACTCCATTAATCAATTATAAAAGAAGGGAAAATTACCTAAAACCAAGAGTTTAAGATTTGATTATAAAAAATAAGGTGATTAACAAATTTTTACAAGAATCAGGCGTTAAAAACTAAAAAAAAAAAAATCTCTCTCTATTTGTAAAGGAGAAAAGGGAATGGAACCATAGTGGAACAATTTCTCCATCTATTTTCAAAGCAGAAAGCGGAATAGAACAAGAGAAGAATGAAATTCGACGACTCCCTTCTAGATTGCCACTCCCTCCAAACCGATCGGTATGATGATCGTCACCTATTAAGTATTCCCTCCATCACCAAGCCGCTAAAGTTGCAATCCCCAATTTTTTTCTCCAACACCGAAATTTGATGTTAGATTCACCAGATTCTCAACCCACCCTCAACAAAGTTATTATTTCCTTCTCCGATTCCACGTTAGTCTGAATCCACTACAACAAAATTGTTATTTCGCAACAAGATATTTTGCCACGTGACCCCCTTGGGTCCACCTTGAGTATATGTTTGAAAATATATTCTGCCATGATGATGATGACGACGACGACAATAATAATAATAATAAATGATATGAATTCAAGTGGAATCCATTAATCAATTATAAAAGAAGGGAAAATTACCTAAAACCAAGAGTTTAAGATTTAATTATAAAGAATAAGGTGATTAAGAAATTTTTACAAGAATCAGGCGTTAAAAACAAAAAAAAAAAAAAACAAAAAAAACAAAAATTCTCTCTCTATTTGTAACGGAGAAAAGGGAATGGAACCATAGTGGAACAATTTCTCCATCTATTTTCAAAGCAGAAAGCGGAATAGAACAAACGAAGAATGAAATTCGACGACTCCCTTCTAGATTGGCACTCCCTTCAAACCGATCGGTATGATGATCGTCACCTATTAAGTATTCCCTCCATCACCAAGCTGCTACAGTTGCAATCCCCAATTTTTTTCTCCAACACCGAAATTTGATGTTAGATTCACCAGATTCTCAACCCACCCTCAACAAAGTTATTATTTCCTTCTCCGATTCCACGTTAGTCTGAATCCACTACAACAAAATTGTTATTTCGCAACAAGATATTTTGCGACATACAAAAAGCTATTGCAATAAGCAATTTAACGCGACACATTTTTAAAATTTGTAGCAAATATTGTGAGGGAAAAAAAAAAAAATATATATATATATATATATATATATATTTGAGAAAAAAGCATCCATGAACTCCTTACTAATGGTTTCTTCTATCTGGTACTTAATGTTGATGAAAGCCGGTAAGAAGTGCATCTTGCTTGGAAAGACCCTTTCTTCAGACTTCAGAAAGGGCTATTAGATGGGTGATTCTCCCTTTCCATTGAAGTAGGGAAAGCGAATAAAGATTGTCACAAAATGATATTTGATGTCTGATTATTCTTTTGACATGTTCTTTTCTTTCAGGAGCCTCCATTCAATATTTGTGGGTGCTTTTGTTCAAACTGATTTAATCTTTAGATGACATTTTACGGACATTGCGAACCACATGGCCTTTGCTTGAATATGCTTGACTTGTGATCACACCTGTAGAACATTGATCTAAAGCTTTTCATAGTGTCATTTTCTTGAACTTCTTCTCTGTTTATATTTAAGTACATTTACTGTTTGTTTCCTCAATAAAATAGCCATATATGTGTTGGAAAAAAAAACTGAGTTATGGGCTGACTTTGGCACGAGTTTTGAGTGGGACCCGGTTGTTCAATTTGGAAGATGAAAGTTGATTTGTGTTCTCCTCCGTGAGTACATCGAAATCATATACTTACTTGCCAAAGATGATGCTCGGGTAAATGAGAAATTGAGGCTCAAAGTGTGCCACTCAAAAGGGAGTTTATGTGGGAAAAATGAATTTGTCCCACGTAAGAAAAAGATGAGAAACTCCAAAGGTCATTGCCATTAATGTTAGCCTAGCTTATAAATAGTGGCTCGTTTTCCTCATTTCAATACACCAAAACAAAAGCTTTCAAGTTTAAAATACACAAGAAATTCATTTGCATAGAGTTCTGTCTTTCTGCATTTCCGTCTTGGTGGTGGTGTAGTTCAGGTACTAGTTCAGTTCGTCGGAGTGGTTTCTACGGTGCTCGGAAGCTACTGATTTTATCGTTGTATCCTGGAAAATGGACGCTCGTTTTAAACCTCAAGCACGGACGGTGAGGGGACGGATCTGTTTTAAGGAAACTGTGTATAACACAAGCCTCAGTTTGAACTTTCATTTCCTGCAATTTCAATTATTCGTTCTGTTATTTATTGCAGTAAATTCAATAGTTGACTTGTTGTTCATTCTGTTATTATCTAATTAGTTATACGACTGTAACTTGCTGTTATATATCATCTTACCGGACAAAAGGTATATACGGTATTGAAATCGAGAATACCGGATTCCTCATTTTTCATAAACTTACCGAATTTCAGAAAAGTTCGGTCGACCGAACTAGTGAAACTTAAGATTTCCCCTACAAGTTTAAAACAGATTTTCAGAAAGGAAAAATTGGTTTCCTATATTGATTATTTCTGAACTGATTAGTTCCTTATATTTGTTATATTGTGAAAACTAATTTGTTGTTTGGTTCTTTCAGAAGACGAAATGGCAACCGGTTCCACCAACATGAATTCCAACATGGATGTGTCCCAAGCTGTAGGTATCCAAACTCAGGCTGTGGGTTCTACTATGGGTGCAGGGCCTAGTTTGGCTATAGGTACAGCTATGGCTGCAGGGCCTAACTCTATTATGACTCAGACTGTAGCTCAAGTACCAAGTCGTGTTGTGAGCCAACATGTGGCTAATGTTCCGGTTAATGTACCGATTAACCATGGGAAAAAGTCGGAGAAATTCAATGGCTTGAATTTCAAGAGGTGGCAGCAGAAAATGCTGTTCTATCTGACCACCTTGAATCTTGCGAGATTCTTAACTGAAAGTACTCCAAAACTCCAAGAGGGTGAGGTGGATATTCAAGCAATCAGTGTTGTTGATGCTTGGAACCACTCGGACTTCTTATGCCAGAATTACGTCATGAACAGTTTGGCAGATTCGCTATACAACGTGTATAGCACCAT